AAAAAAACCTTAACATAAGCCGGGCTTCATGGCGCACACCTGTGATGCCAGCACTCAGGGAAGCAGAGGCAGATGAATCTCTGTGAGTTTGAGGCCAGCTTGGTCTACAAAGTTAGTCCAGGACAGCCAAGGCTACACAGAGAAATCCTGTCTAGACAAAACAAACAAAACACCTTAACATATTAATTTTACCATCTCAGGACTTATCCCAAACGAAGGGAAATGCACAAGAAAGCATCTTAATCAATAACCATCTCTCTGTCTTATTTTGTTACTGAGATAACCAATTTCCATCTAACCAGAGGCAACACATTTTATTTTTCTAATATAGCAAAAGACAGTGAGCCATGAACTCACAGGGAAAGTGACAGAAGCAAATTATCATAAAATCAGATGTAACTTAAAATTTTTTTGCCCAAAATATGTCATGTACTATAAAAACTTGCTTCATACTACAGAACATTTTTAAAATTAAAAAAAAAATTACATGTATGTGTATTCTGCCTGCAAATATATTTACCACATATGTGCATAGTGGCCATGGAAGCCAGAAAAGAGTATCTGATCCTCTGAAACTGTAGTTACAGATGGCTATAAGCTGTCTTGTGTATGCTAGGAATTTAACCCAAATCCTGTGAAAGAGCAGTCAATACTCTTAACCATGGAAGTATCTCTTCAGCCTAATATTACAGAACCTTTTAATATCTCTCTATATTCAGAACTTTTAGTTAATCACCTTACAGTTTTATATACAAAGCATTTAAGAAATATCAGCTGCTGGAAAATAACTTTTTCTTATATACTAAAATTTTTTCCTTAGGGCTGTTCTTGGGCGGTAGAGGCAGGCAGGGCTCTGTGAATTCCAGGCCATCCAGGACTAAATAGAGAGACCCTGTCTCCATAAAACCAAAAATAAATAAGTAAAATTTGAAAAAAAATTTAAAAGGATATAAAATAAACTACAGTTTAATCTTTAAGATCAAAACCAGGTATAGAATATATGCTTGTAATCCCAGCACTCAGGAGGATAAAACAGAAAGACTGGCATGAACTATTGAGAACAACCTGAATTGCAACGGACCCTGTCACACAGACATTAAGATGTAAAATTACATTTTTCTAGTAGGCTGAAGAGAGCAGCTGGGCAACAAAGATGGATGGATGGAACAGTCCTCTTACCTGGAAGATTGCCCTTTGAGATGGTATCTGTGTCCAGATTGTAGGTGTCTTGTAGACGAAAGAGAGCTTTAGCTGCCCCAACCTGATCTTCATCATTAGGGAAGTACTGCCTCTGAATGGTTAGGTTAGAGATGAAA